TCCCGTCCCGTCCCATTCCATTCCATTCCATTCCATTCCATTCCATTCCATTCCATTCCATCCCATCCCATCCCATCCCATCCCATCCCAATCTTGCATTTCTGCAAAAACCCTGTATATGCAGACATCCATCGCAGGTGCGTTTCTGTGAGTGAGTGTGTAAAATCCCATTATTTACAGCCAGGAAAGGCCCCCATTTTTATGGAATAGTGCTGCCTAGCAGATGATATTCCATACAGGGGAAGCAGGGTCCCACAGTACTGGGACATTTCCTTGCTCCACAGATCTGCAGGCCAAGTGCTGAAGTGCAGCCCTCTGAGCCAAGCCAAGCGTGACAGCAGCACAAGGGCAATCCTGGAAAAGAGGAGGAAAACCTGGGATGTTTTCTTCTTTCCTGACTTCCCAGTTCTGCTTGCAGCACCCCCTCAATGCCTTTCCCATCCCTGCTGTGGCTGCAGAGCAGCGGGCAGCGATCAGCCCTGTGCTCTCTGCAGTGAGCTGAGAGGCTAAATCAGATTTTCAGGGTCTGTTTTCTGAGGGAATTGCTAAACTCCTTCACCAGCAGTGCCAAGGGGTGCTGCAGGGAAAGACAAGCAGGGAGGAGGAAGAGGAGGAGGTGAGAGAGGGAGTCAGTCAGCACTCACCCACCAAGGCGTCTCTCCTCCCCCGGCAAAAGGGAAACGAACCCTGCCCAGGCCTTTCCGTGGTGCTCCAGCTTGCCAGGGGTTGTGCAATGGGATGTCAGGCAGGCTCAGGGAGAGCAGAGCGCCAACGGGGGGTAAGGGGTGTAATGCAAGCCTACGTGTTTATTTCTGAACAGGAACCCAAGCAAATCCAGCCGTGACCACTTCAGGAGGTGAATCAAAGCCACCAGCTTAAAACCTCTTGCTGTTGTTTCTTCTCTTAGAGAACCTGGATGAAATGTTTTTAATAAAAGACTCCTTCCTTCCTTTCATTCTTTTCTCTATTTTTTTTTCTCTTTTAATACATATATATATCAAAGTTCAAATAAATCTTTACCATAATCAGAAGAATGCAGAGAACTGTAAAAGTTTAGAAGGGGTCACTCCTGAGCAGCACCAACTCCATAAAGTGCAGTTTGATGTCCTGTACTTTATGGCTGTACGAAGCCCAGCTCTTCTGCCCTGAGATTGGCTGTAATATTGTAATGATGTTTAACTGCCGACAAATGAATCACAGGTGAGGAGACAAGGACTCCTTAAGTAAAAAAACATGTCATTTTTATTTGGTTGCTTTTTGTTTTGCTGTTTGGTTGTTTTGATATTTCTCTTTAGTTCCCTCAAGCAAACAGATTAAGGAACATCCCAGACTGTCAAGTAATATCTGTTTGTAAAAAGCACCAAAAAAACCACCACACCCCTTTGATGTATCTGTCACATGCTGGAGAGGGGAGAGAGGGGTTTTCCTTCACTTCCAGTGTGACTTCTTTTTATTTTTTGCCACTAATTACAGAATTTCTCATTAAAATAACAAGAAGCACAGCTGGCTGAGATTCTAGCATGTTTTCACTTGGGGAAACCAATGGGAACCATATCCTTCCTTCCTTCCTTCCTTCCTTCCTTCCTTCCTTCCTTCCTTCCTTCCTTCCTTCCTTCCTTCCTTCCTTCCTTCCTTCCTTCCTTCCTTCCNTTCCTTCCTTCCTTCCTTCCTTCCTTCCTTCCTTCCTTCCTTCCTTCCTTCCTTCCTTCCTTCCTTCCTTCCTTCCTTCCTTCCTTCCTTCCTTCCTTCCTTCCTTCCTTCCTTCCTTCCGAAGACCCTCCCCCAGAAACAAACCCACCTCACACCTGCTTTTTAAAATTCATCCCATTCCCCAGATTTTGGAGCTGTTTTTTCAATTTCTTTCCCGTCTTAGGCCTTCCTCCCCTCCTCTTCCTCTCCCTCCATGTGTCCTTTTCCCACGGCAAAAGGAACTCACGCAGACCTGGGTATTTATAAAATCCCCTCCAATGCCAAAGCGTCAGGAACAATCACTTCCCTCCAGTTTGCAAGAACATTCAAAGTGCCCCGAAACATATTTTCGACATAACTCATCACTTTGAAGACGCTTCCAAGCTTTTGTTCCTGTTTATTGACAGGAAGTTGCTTTTCATGGCTCCAGATCAGGAGGGGGGTGATGGAGGTGTTGCCAAGTGGGTTTGTTGTGCCCTGCAAATCCCAACCCCACATTCCTGGCTTCCCCCAGGCATCCACCACCCAACCCCTCTGGTCTTTGCCAAGTGGAATAAAAACACCACTGAGGATTAAAAAGGGGGAAATTAGAGGCAGGATGGATGTGGGCAGGTGAGAGGGAAGCAGGAAGCTCTCTTATCCACCATGGCTCTGGAAGAAGAGGGGGGTTTGAGGCACCCCCTGGCCCTGGAGAGCAGGGGTGAGGCACAAGCCCCCCGTGTCTCCTCCTGGAGAAGGGGCCAGCACAGGAGGATCATCCCCTCTGGGAACTGTGACTCGTGGGGAAGGGGGGAGTGGGAAAGGGAGCAGGGAAAAGGGAGGGGGGAAGGGGGACTCACCTGACTCCCCCTGTCATGGCAGGACAGGGGTCTCCATCCAAACACTGGGGGCTCAAGGAGGGGCCTGGGGGCTGCTGTCCGTGGAGATGGGCCAGAGCTCTGCAGGGTGACCTCTTGAGGCTGGGCCAAAGGCTGGGAGGAACTGGGGGAAGTGGGAAGGTGGTGATGGAAGAAGGGCTGCACCTGATCCCTGCTGCGTCTCAGGACAGGGATACAGAATGGAATTCTTGTTGGTGCAGGGGGAAGAACTGGGCTCTGTGGTCCTTGTGGTTCCCTTCCATCTCTGAGTGTCCTTTGGTTTTATGAGAGAAGGACAAATGTTTCTGGTTCCCAGCTCCAGTCCTGGGTAACACCTTCAGGGAATACCCTCTGCTGCCTTCAGCCCTCCTGATCCTCCTCCAGCAGCAGCATCCTCTCCTGAGGAGCATCTCCTGCTCCAGGGGCTGGTCATGCTGGGGGAAGCCAGCAGAGGAGCAGGACAAGGCCCTGGGGTGCCCAGCACAGCTCAGGATGAGGATCTCGGGCAGCCACAGGGATCTGCCATCTGAAGGAAGCGCCAGCCCCACTGGGCTTGACCTCCTGGACACCTCCAAACCCACTCAGCAGCCCTGGCACAAATCCCTGGGGAAAAGGGAGACTTTAAATCAGGCCACATCGACCTTTTTTTCTACTGACAGCAGGACTGGCTGTTATGGACTGAGGGCCTGAGGTTCTTGCATGGAAAGGAGCTCAGTGCAACACTGGGGGCACCTCTGAATTCCACTTAGTCCCAGCAATTATTACTTCTTGGCTTGTTGCTACACCGTGTAGTGTAATGTTATTGCTTGGAATGCTCTGTTAACTCCGTTTTTACTGATACCATGTGTTCCCCTCCTTTCATCCCAGTAGTGTGTCAAGAGCTGTTTTCCTAAGGATGGTCAAGGGAATATGATTCTAATATTACTGGAGATGATATAAAAAGTTTTATAGACACTGCTCCATGTTTGAACTGAGAGCCCAGAGCTCAGCCACGAGGGCCTTAGTCAGGCATTTGAATTGCATGTTTTAAAAGGCCAGTGAGGTAAAAAGGCACTTGCTGGTTTACAAAGGACAGCCATTGTGAAGGGAAAGACGTTAGACCTGCACTTAGAGAGGAACAAACCGAAAACCTCAGAAAGCTGGGCTTATAATATGCAATTTCAGGTGTCATTTGTCTCCAGAAGCACAAATCCTGGGAAATACACAAGGACACGCTGCTTGCTGTGTAATTCCCAGGAGTGCAGCCACGAAGCTGTAGCTATTAATGTGGTACTCACTGTCTTGGCCAGCAGGGCTGGGGTAGCACTGAGATCCCCCAAAACTCAGAGCAGAAGCTCCAGAGCCAAGGTGTGCTGATGATCACAAAAGATCTTTGCGTTCTCTCTGGTTTGCCAAGAAAAGCTGCTGGCAGAAGAAGGATTTTTGGGTTTTTTAGGTAGAGGTGTGCATAGTAAGGACTGGGAGGTGAGCCCTTGCTTGTTCAGTTGGACAGGAGAGCTGGGAATAGCTCTGCTGTGATGTTCCCAGCCAAGGGGCCGAGCACAGAACCAGGAGCTCTCAGGAGGAGGAGACTCAGGGAGTGCACACTCCCAGCTCTGGGTGAGCAGAGTGCTAAAATGTTCTCCAGGGAGCAGAGCACAGGTATTTGTTCACTCCGCTGGTTCCTCTGCCTCACGCCAGCATTTCCAGGGCTGTTTCTGCCTCAACTCTGCACCTGGAGTTTGTGGTTATCCACTGCTTCAGCTCCTGTGAGTAAACTCTGCACATCCAGCTCTGCTGCATAAAGATTTCTGTGGATACCAAAAACCTGTTTTCCTATTAAGGCAGTTCTTTCTGTGTTTTACAGTAGAACAAGTCCAGCACAGCAACAGCAGGCAGAGTTTCCCAGCCTCGCTGAGCTTTTACGAGCACTTCCATAATGGCATTTCCAACACTTGGGCCGTGGCTGCAGCGACAGCTGACGCCTCATCCATCATAACCTGCTCTCTGCTTAAGAAAGCTGCTTTATTTATTGCAGGTGATGGCCTCTGCACGGGACAAACATGCCTGGAAATTCCAAGGCTTTTGTCTCGGCAGCAGGCGGGTTCCAAGTGCCTGACACAGTGTTCATCACTGGGGCTGTGCTCTCCTCATTTGCTTCCCAATGTTGCCTTGAAACAGAATGGAATGACATGGTTTGGGTTGGAAAAGAGCTTAAAGATCATCTGCCATGGGCAGGGACACCTTCCACTGTCCCAGGCTGCTCCAAGCCCCAGTGTACAGCCTGACCTTGGGCACTGCCAGGGATCCAGGGGCAGCCACAGCTGCTCTGGGCACCCTGTGCCAGGGCCTGCCCACCCTCACAGGGAACAATTCCTGCCCAATATCCCATCCATCCCTGCCCTCTGGCAGTTAAAAACCATTCCCCCCTGTGTCCTCTCCCTCCAGGGCTTTTTCCCCAGTCTCTCTCCAACTCTCCGGGAGCCCTTTAGGGCCTGGCAGGGGCTCTGAGCTCTCCCTGGAGCCTTCTCCTTCTCCAGGTGATCACCCCCAGCTCTCCAGCCTGGCTCCAGAGCAGAGGGGCTCCAGCCCTTGGATCAACACCTTCTACTGGCACACTTGCTGGAGTTCCAGAGCTTTCCTTGGGGTCTTTGGCATCCCTGTGTCATTTTTTGAGGGTAAGAAGCAAAGATTTCCTCCTTAACCAAAGAGAACTGAAATTTTCCTGTAAGCATAGTTTTCTCCCTTGGTGCCTGCAGAGGGTGAGCCAAGGTGGCAGCTGGAAGGAGAAATACAGGAGGTGAACAGCAGATGACAAGGAGGGAGATGAGGTAGAAGGTCAGCTCCTTGCTCAGGCACCCTTGGGACAAAGAGAAATGTGTAACACCAAATCTGGCAATTCCTGCACACAAAACAATGAAAATATCTCTACTCACCAGCTTACCTGGCTCTCCTCACCTTAAAAAGGATGGAAGGAAAGCTTTGGGGCTGTAGGGCAAGCTGGGGTGAGCAGACCTCAGGTGAAATGTTTGTTTGGCTGAGGTAATTTGTTCTCAGTTCCAGGCAAGAAATAGAACGGAATTTCACAAAGCACAGCCAGGTTCTAAGCAGGACTAACACCTGTCCTGGACCCAAGAACCCAAAGACCCAATAGTCCAGTACTGAGCAGAACTGCCCAGACTAGACCTCAGTATCCCAAATTCCTGCTTTCCACATTCATATTTGAGCACTGGTCTCTCAGTTCCAAACAGGGCAGGGCACATCTGGACTGGGAAAGGTCACTCCTATGCATCCAAACATGACCTTCTGAATATCTCCTCATCTCCTCTGAGGCTTTTTTACCAAGCTGGGGATGCTCAACCCTTTGAAAAATCTTTGAAGACCTGTCAAAAATTTCTGCCCATGTCTCGCAGTCTGTCCAGATC